AGCAGTCCATTTTGTTATGGAACAAAGTGTCAGTTCATCTCTCCCCACCCTACAAAAACGATAAGTGGGTGAGAAAAACACTTCAGAAAAACCAAATGGTTGGGTGGGATCACAAGTGATACAATGAAAGGGGGAAATGTAAACAGTGTTGAAATAGAAAATGGAGGTGGTAAAAAGCAGGACTGCTGGGGTTACAGAGGTTACACTAAAGAGGAAAACAAGAGCCATGTGTGCATCCCAAGACCCCTCCAAAAGTAAAGAATTTCACCTCAGCCTGTGCAACTGCCTGAATTGAGGATTTCTCTGCAGACCACATCAAGGCACTGCCTGCAACTTCTAGGGGCTCTAGAGCAACACAAGCATCAATACACAATACAGAAAAGAAGAAAGAAAAAAACACTTCTGTGCTATGGGACTGCAGAATGGAAAAGGCTGACTTCTAAGGCTGTGTTCCTGAGAGCCTCGGTGATCCAGGCTGACAGCTGGGACATGCATGCTGCTGCACAGCCTGGCCATGCTCCACAAATCCAGAAAGCAGCTTCTTCTGCCCTCAGTCTTGGGGCATTGGGGTGCCCTCTGCTCTCTCTGGCACTGCTGTATGTGGTGAGCCACACAACACCCACCTAACCCTCCTGCAGTGGCCCCAGCTGTTCTCTCCTGACTTGAACTGCACATGCCCTCCTACGCCCTGCCTTGCTCAGCACTTCTCTGGTCACCAAGGCAGACACAAGGTCTGTATCTTTTTCTTCCTTTCCAAGCTCCTGACTTTGGGGCAGCAGCTTGCTCTATTATTTACGATGTCACAGTGCGAAGGCCAGGAATGAGGGAGGTTTGCATTCCAAGAGAGCCACTTCTTTCCCATGAAAAGTATGCACAATCCTAACACCCGGATCATGTTTTCTACTACAGAGAAAGAATTTCCATGATACGTGGTATGTATAAATGCCTTATTTCTACCTCTTCTCCTATAACTTTTGCCCTCCATAGCAACATAAAATAATGACAGACCTTAAAGGAAAACAGCAAAATGTTGTCCATTTTCCTTGTAACTATTCTATGCAGATGGGGATGAGCATTTATAAAGCCTCAATGCTCACCCTTTGAATTACTTGTGATTATGATTATTTTATCCTTTTTTTCTCCCCTGAAGTACTTCTGCAGCTTCATTGACCCCACTCTGCTACTGTGGTCAAGTCTCTCTCACAATAAGTGTGTTCAATACATTCTCTCCTAAAGGTCTTGGGCCACCAATAACCTGAAGATAAAACTGGAAATACAGCTGAAGGCCTGAAGATTGTACAGCCTGCTGCCTGGATGCCTGCAGGCCCCATGCCTTGATGCCAGCACCATTTCACACTGCATGATTCCTTCACAGTCCAATTAAACCAAAAAGATAGAAAAGTTTTAGCTTTAGCTCTCTGCTAGATTGAAGTTTTATTGTTATTTCAAAGAGAGGAACCAAGGGAAAAATACTGAAGTCAAATGTAATGTGTATTTGTAATTACTCCACCTGGAGTTATTAAAATATTGATTAGTTTCTAAGAATATTTGTCACTATATGTTGTTTGTACTTCAGCCCAAGCTTCTGCTCAACTTTGCCATAGCTATATTTGCTCAACCTATATTCCAACAAGGCTCCTTATTGCACACACAGGCATTCCAGGACAGCTGGTGATGGAGGGGGAAAACAGCCAGCAGCCGAAACTTCTTAAGCTTCTTCAAGGAATCCTGGCCTGAGACCTTCTAAAATAAAATAAATTTCTACCAGTCACATGCAGTATAATGTGGGGTGGTTTTTTTGCCCAAAGGACTCTAAAGTTATGACCACAGCACCAGAAAAAATGGGGCCTGGAAATGAGCTTAAGCACTGGACTGCTAATTGCCCATTATGCTTAACTGCAAGCATGTGTCCTGGAAAAGGTTTGGCTCATGTCAGCTTACACTGTCCCAGACAGAATCCAGACCAGGAGATGGAGAGTGTGCAGCCCATTCCAGCAAGCAGCATGCACCAGGCAAACACCAGATCAGCCTCCTCCTCTTTTCCCTCTTCCTGTGCCTAGCATGACCTTTTTTCACTGCCTTCAGACTCTCCAGAGCATAGGACACGTGTTGTCAGCTTCATATTATGAAGATGTCACTCCAATTTTTTTTTTTTAATGAAAAGAAAGAGCCAATTAAAAAAGCACAAACATGCTAACAGTTGTATCGTAGGTCCATGGAAAGGAAGCAATTGGTTTGTAAAATGGATCTGGTCACATCTTGGTACTTGGGCAAACAGCCAAGTGCCTTCACTTGTTTTATTTGGTGTTATAAACATAGTTCAGCCGCAAGAATCTGGTCTTACATTCACAGGGATGGCAGGAGGCACCTGTGACACTAAGGTCGCCATCATTTGGACAATGCTGTCAGGCACAGCGTGGATGGAGCTGCAAAGGGCCAGGAGCTGCATTCAGTGATCCTTGTGGGACCCTTCCAACTCAGCATATTCCGTGATTTTTGTGATCCTGCTGAAACCCTTGAGGGCATTAGAACCAGGAAAGACTTTTTTTTTCTTGTGCAGAACAAATGTTAGTTTTGATCCTAGAAACAGCAGTTGCTTTGGCTGAAACCCCTCTGTTTAAACAGACACCCAAATAAGAACATCAGGAGGAATGTCCTTCATAGGTAAGAGTAATCTTGCCACCCGTAGTTCTTTTTTATCCTTGAGATGTCTGTAGCTTTAGAGTAAATTAGGGTGGTTTTTTTCTTCTCTTTGTTTTTATTTTTAAGATCTCAGAATTTAATTATGTTGAAACAGGAAGCATGCTTCATTTAAGTGATGTCAGAATTTCTTTCTTGAGATGTTTCATGGGAAGAATCCTTACTTCTTTTTCTCTGTTTACACTGAAGGTTCATGAAGCCAATGTAAACAGCAAAATGAGTGTAAACACCAGGGATTAACTTTAGGAGATTTGAAAGCAACAGGGTTTGCCTTAATAAAATCAAGCAAATAATTAAGCAGCAGAGTTTGCCTTAATAAAATTAAGCAGATAGTTTAGTATTTCTATATATCTCTATATATAGTTTAGAGGTCATGAAGAAGTATGTTCCCCTTATTAAACATCCACCATTTGAGCTTTTTGAGGATTTCCTTAAATAATGAAGGATAGCATTATGTTGGTGTTAAGCTAATTTTTTATGAACTTCAGGGAGAGGACAAGTGAGTTATTGCTTCATTAAATGTGCAGACACTCACTGAAGTTGTATTCTCTGCACTGCAATACAGCAAGATTTTTATACAATACAATATTCTTAAAGGATTGTTGTCTCTTTCTTGTGAGCTGTGCTTTGACTCTAACTGCCTTCTCCTCCTGCTTATTGTGGATGTGCTCTGCTTCCTCTGAGTGTCCTGTAATATTATTGGGGAAATTTCCATGATCCTAGTACTAAAACTCCTTGTTATAATTACTTTTAAAAAACGAGGGGGCAAAAAATAAGAATGTCACTCTGCCAAAAAAAAAAAAAAAATTATCTTGCTCTAATCAATGCCAGAACAAATAATTTTGCTTTCTAACAATCAAAACATAGAAGAGAACATGCAGGTGATGGCTGTTGAATAAACGAGAAAGTTACACAGTTTTAAGAGATTCCAATGTGGCTAATGTGATGAGAGCCTCATAAAGCCAAAATACTCTCAGAATGCTTACAAGTGTCTGCTTGCCGTTTCCAGGCTGAAAAAAAATCAAGGAGAGATTTTAAAGAACTCAGTGCGGGGCTAAAAGCATTATTGATTGCTTAGGTGTAACTGAAATCTCACCGGGATTTACTAGAAGCAGTGACAGCGTGGGTGCTGGAGTTCATGGAAATGAGAAGAATAGCGGATTTGTCTTTACAAACAAGCTGTGGGTCTGCTGGTAGATAAAACTAGCACTGGGAGATGAAAGAAACAATAGAAAGCATTCCACTGATTGATGAATGGAAAAATATATTTGCTTTTAGAAATAAACTTTAGGTTTGCTAATAAATGAAATTAGACATTGAAAGATGAAATAAACAATGGAATAGAAAAACCCCTAAATTCCATAAGGATTAAAAATTAAAAGGGAGGGTTATACATTTGAGGGAAATCTTCGGTATCAGGCGTATCGGGAAGTCTGTGCCTCTCAGGTACCTCAGTCAATGGGGAAAGAGAGAAGCGAAATGCGGCCGGGAAATTAGGATAAAAATGAGGTAGCGTGCTCCAAAAATTCAAGCCATCCCAGGGAATGCCCCATGGCCTCTCCCTTTATCCGAATAAAGTAAAAAAGGAACTTTAGGTTTGCTAATAAATGAAATTAGACATTGAAAGATGAAATAAACAATGGAATAGAAAAACCCCTAAATTCCATAAGGATTAAAAATTAAAAGGGAGGGTTATACATTTGCGGGAAATCTTCGGTATCAGGCGTATCGGGAAGTCTGTGCCTCTCAGGTACCTCAGTCAACGGGGAAAGAGAGAAGCGAAATGCGGCCGGGAAATTAGGATAAAAATGAGGTAGCGTGCTCCAAAAATTCAAGCCATCCCAGGGAATGCCCCATGGCCTCTCCCTTTATCCGAATAAAGTAAAAAAGGACACCTCTGTCTCCTTTTTGGACATAAGCCTCTGGTGTTTGTGGATTAATTTTCCCAACAGAAGCACCCCTTGTCCCTACTGCCCTCGGCTGACGCGTCTTCCCTTCAGCACCGCACCAATCCACGTGAGCCAGGTAAATACACACCTGGCGCCCGAACGGCGATCCCAGGAGAAACAATGAAAAGCAGGGCAGATTCACACAACAGCAACTAACAGTATGCATATTGCCTCTTGCCAGACTATCTGGGTGTGTCTTTAGGCTGCTATCGCCTTTGTGTTTGCCTGCGGACGTACAGCGAGAAGCCCGGCACCAGCAGACGCGCGGCTGAAGCTGAGCTCGCACGCAGCGTAACCGCGGCAGTGGAGGCTCCGCACACAGCAGATCATGGGCGGGCCGCAGGCACCCTTGTTCCCCGCACAGCCCAAGCCTCGGTGTTCCCAGTGCGCTGCGCAGGAAGGATCGAGGCAGGGAATTTTCTTCAGGGGACCCCGCCGCCTCTTCACTGCGGGGCCAGGGCTCCGCCTGCGCCCGCCGCAGGACTACAGCTCCCAGCGAGCCTTGCGCCGCCTCCATCTTCCCCCTCAGAAATACCGCGGGTAGCGCGGTTGAAACACAGCGCCTTGTTGGAACAAAACCTGTCCTTGAACAAAACTTTCTCAGAGTGTGCTTTGAGCCTGCGGGGAGGCGCGCAGCTGAAATACATCCTCGAATTAGCCCTCATGATCTCGTTGGGTTCACTTTGGCAAGAGGCCGGAGTATCCACTCCCGGGTTGCTCTGTCTCCCAGAGGAGCTGTAAATCTGCTTTTCTTTCCTGGTGGCGATGTAGTGTCCTGGGAATGTCCTCAAAATACGTGGTGGGTCAGCTCATCTCCTGCTTCAGCAATATTTAGCAAACCCTGCCGCTGGCCTCTCCCACCACCCACCCCCTTCACTGTTCCTCAGTGTCTGTGATGGCGCTCCTGAGGACGCTGCCTGACCTTGCTCTGCTGCCTGTGCTTTCTCCTTGCTGTGGACTTGCTGCCTATGATAGAGGAGCTGTAGTTCAAGCTTTGCTAAATCTCGTATATCTACACCGGGCCTTTTGTTTATGTGCTGTATGTGGCAGGAACAACTCACAGCAGGTGCTACACGGGCAGTATGTACATACACACACAAACACCTTTTTCCAAGTGGCTGTTGCTCTATATTTTTGATTTTGGGCAGCCATTTGGCAGTCTTCACTATGGAAACCCAGTACCTTTGAAAAGTCCATGTTCTGTATTTTATCTAGAAGTAGGCATTGCCTGGGTAGCACTATCACGGGTTTTTCATAAACACACCAGCATTTCTTCTCTTCCATCTCCCTTTGGCTGGATCTTAGTTAAGCACAGCTCACATTCAGGATTTTGAAAGCCCTGCTAGAGGAGGAGCCGTGGTAGGAGATCTGACAAGGCTGGAGATCTGCAGGCAAGGATTATCTACAGCAAGGTGGCTCAGGGAGATAAGGATGGATGTACATGTGCATCTATCCCAGAATGGGAGCAGGGAGAGAGTAGACAGGGCAACAACTGGATCTCAAATGCTATGGCAGAGAGCTGTATGTAAGTATTAGGAGACCCAAGTAGAAAGAAATTAGAATCAAAAGATTTGAGGAGTAGATTGGGTGGGAGCCATAAAAGTGAGCTGGGGTGAACTAGGAGAAGCTGAGACAAACATGAAGCAGAGTCTGCAAGTGGACACCAGTGAGGAGGAAGGAAAAGGAGGAATTTAGAAGGCAGTGTGGAAATACATAAGCTGTTTATGCAGAAGTGGTGTGAAGCTTCTCTTCTGTGTTGGAGGCAGGGACACAAGCAGAAGTTGGTGATTCTCCTTTCCTTGTTTTTTTTTTGGTTTTTTTTTTTTTTGGTTTTTTTTTTGGGGTTTTTTTGGTTGGTTTTTTTTTTTTTTTGTTTGTTTTTGTTTTTTGTTGCTGTTTCCCCCCATTTTTAAAGCATGGTAGTCCCTTGGAAGCAGCTTTGTTCTCTAAATGTCCAACATCATTTGCTCTATCTTCCAAAGGAAAAAAAAAAAAAAAGTAACTTAAGTAACACTTCCTGCAATTGGCATTGCATCCATGCGCTTTTGGAGCCTGTTTCCCAACTTTAGCATCAATGGGCTCTGAACAATTTCAGGAATGCTTCCTTAATTTCTCTCACTCTTTTCCATCAATTGGCTTTTCTCACTCCACCCAGTCTTAGCAGAAGGTTTACAGGCTTTTCTTACAATTTCCACTATAAAAATATGTATGTTTTGAATCAAAAGAAATTGAGTACTCAGTCCATCCTATCCCAAGGAGCAGTCACCTTCTCAGAATCTTGTTTTCTGAGTACTCCCTATCACTTTTTACCTTCAGAAACTTTCTGGTAATGCACTAGAACTACACGTTCTTTCCCATGGCATTCCTTACAGCTTCCAGCTTTGCTATCAGTGACTGGAAAAAAGATATGAGGATTCAAAATCCTTTTCCCCTTAGCACCAAACTAGTGTATGCACAGTTGCACAGTTTAGAGTCATCCATCTCCTGAACAGCTTCCGCAGAAAAACAACTTCAGAAACGTGAAATAATCACAAATTAACTGGTCTTTCCACAAGGCTGGCTAAGCCCAGGCCTCCCAGCCCTATTATGGTCTTGTGTAAATCAGAAATCTAGAACTGGCATAAAAACTGCAACAGCCTGAGGGAGCATCTAATAGCATCGTGTGGGAAACTGCAGCATTCCCCTGGCTGAACCCCATGAGGTCCCTTCCAGGCATCACTCAGCATAAACTGGCAAGAAAGCTGTGTATTGATTTTGATTATCTGCACTATATGTGTGCTTGTAGAATCTGAAATTAAACAGCAGATTGGGTTTCTAATCCAAACACCCTATTTATTTCTGGTTTTATTTTCCTGAAGGAAGGCTGAAAGAACGACAGAGAGCAAAACAAACCTCGCGGGAGGTTACAATGTACACAAAGCCATCTTGGGAATAGGGGCGGTTCTTCGCTCAGCAGAGAACGCGGGAAAGAGGGTGAGGAATGGGAGTATCTGCTGATGTTTAGGGGAAGCAGCAGCAGAGAGAAGGGCAGCTGTTCTTCTCGGGGTGCACTTAACCCTGACCCGCACGCCGCTCCGCTGGCGGACACAGGCCCAGCGCACGCCCCGGCTCCCATGGCGCTGAGGCACCGCCGCCACGGCCGGGAGCTCTCGGCTCCTCCAGGGACTCCCCTGGCCCAGGGCAGGCGGCCGCCCCTCCGCCCGGCGGGACACGTCCCCCACGCCGCCGCCCCTCCCGCCGCCGGCTCCCGCATCCCGTGCCGCGCACCCCGCGTGACCGGCGGGGCGGGCACGGGCAGGCACAGGCGGGCGGCCCGTCCCCGCAGCGCCCGGGACCGAACGCCGCTCCCCCACCGAGGGCAGAGGAAGCCGGGCGCTGTATCCCCGCTCCGTCCCGGCCGCCCGCCCCCGCCGGAGGAGCCGGGGGCGGGGCGGGGCCGCGCCGTCCTCGGCACCTCCCCGCGGGAGCGGGCGGGGCTCGTCTCCTTTGCGCCATGATGAACAAATGACCTCGCGGGGAATGAAATTTAAGTTCCACCGGGGAGAGAGAGTTCTCTGCTTCGAGCCCGACCCCACCAAAGCCAAAGTGCTCTATGATGCCAAGGTGACCGGCCGGGCGCGCTCCTGCCTCCCCCTCCCGCGTCTTCCCGGGCGGGAGGGCGCGGGGCGGGGCCGGCGCGCGGCCCGCCCGCTCCCGTTACGGCTCCTGCTCTCCCGTTACCGCTCCCGCCGGGCGCGTCCCTGGGCGGGAGGTGGCGTGGGAAGCGGCTGTGGGCCCGGCCGGGAAGGCGGCTCCGCCGGCAGCTGCACTTGTTGCGGGAAACGGGTGCTGGCCCGGGGAGGGGGGAGCAGGCGGGGAGGCCGCGGTGCGGGGGCCGCCACGGGACAGGGAGACGAAGCGAGGCGGTGCCGTCCCCGCCGGGCCTGGCCTTCCTCCGTTGTTGCTCCCCGTGGGCGGCTCAGGCCGGTGCCCCGGTGGCGCTCAGCTCTCTCCCCAAGCCACGGGAGCCCCGGGGTGGGGGGTGCGCGTCGCAGCTGTTTGCGAGCCTCTGGGCCTTGCCCGCGCTGGGGAGCAGAGGCGATGGGGCCTGCCTGTCGCGGCAGGTAGACTGCGGGGCCGCCGAGCGCCTCTGGAAGCGTCTGCCGCGCTTCGCGCCTTCCGTTCTCGGCTGAACACCTGCAAAGTAATTCTGAAGTCTTACTGCCACCCCTGCAGTTTTGTAGTGTAGCTGGATTTATTTCCCCCCACGCTTTCCCAAGCCTACTGCCCGGCCTTCCTCGTTTCAGAAAGGTGTAAGTGGTACCGCTGGTGAAGGGGAGCATACGGAAATAGGAGAGTAAGCAGTGCGCGGTGGGCCATAGGTGTTGCAGTAAGAGGTGACTGCTTCAATTAGGGCCTAACCTTAAGAGTAGTGAGAGTAATGATAGAGCTTTATGTAAGTAATGTTGTTTTAGGGTATCACTGGTACACAAGATTATTTTTCAATCCTAAACCATCTGTGTCCGACTTAGAAACAGAGTTCTGCGTGGTTTTTTGTTACAGAGAGGGATAAAAAAAGGAAGTGTTGTAACTGGATTCTTGATGAATTTAGTACTTTATGTTTGTGAGTTGTGCTTCTCTTTTCTCAAACAACCTTGATTAGGAATGCCACTGTCCCATAATATTTTGGGCTGCCCTTTTGCTTGTACATTTACTCCTATGTCCTGACAACCTGGCAGCTGTAGTTGCTATCCCTATAAACCTATAACCTGAGTACAAAAATGCACAGTACCTTTTCTTCTTTACCCTAAACAGCATAACTGTCTGTGAATCCATCAATAGTTCTTAAATTCTGGACACCCAAATTAAAACATCACTGTAGCCTAAGTACTGATAATGATCTACTGAAAGTCTCTCAAGTGCAGGCACCATATCTTTTTCTTCTGAGGTGCAGGCCCTTTCAGACTGGCCATTGCACGTTTGTGAAAATGGAAAAAAAAAAGGGTTGAGATATTCCCAAAGCCTTTTAGTTTTTTGTGGCTGAGAGTCTGTGGTGTTCAACAGAGCAGTATTTCTGAGGTTTATGTATAGAGAACTGTGTTTCCTGCTTAGGGGGCTTGAGCAGACAGCACAGGGGAGAAAGTGTAAGCAGCCCAAATCTGCATATCTGTTTGATGTCTCCCTTTGTCTTGAAGGCATGAGACCTTTGAGGATAGGACAAAGAGAGTGAGCAGTCTGCAATGTTAGGAGTAGCTAACAAGAAAACTAGGTTTTCTAATCATATAATCCTTATCTTCTGTTCATGTCAATATTAACTGGCAAAATAGCAAGTCTATTTAATTTTCGTTTCTTTCTTTCTTTGTGCATAAACTTTCTAAATACCCAAAGGCTTACTTTCTCTCAAGCTTTTTAATATGTAGCATTCAATATTTGTTTCAGATTGTTGATATTGTTGTTGGAAAAGATGAGAAAGGCAGAAAGATTCCAGAATATCTGATCCATTTTAACGGTTGGAACAGAAGGTAAGAACCTATATGTGTGGTTTCTGTTCTTTCATTTCTTCTGTTTTATTCTGCAAGGTCAGGCTCTGCATAGAATATCAGAGGACCAATGTTTGCAGGAGTATTTTTGTTCTTGTGAATGCCTTTAACGTACTTGCTCATGTTGACATTGGTCTGTATCCATAAATTTCAGTGAATCAGTTTGATAGAGATGAGTTTAAACCTTATGGGATATCTGTCTGTGGCATATACTTATGACACCTAAGTTTCCATTAATAAAAGGTTTATGCTTTGTTAAATCTAGCTCTGGATTGTTTGATTATCAGGGTCAGTACATGAGTGTAGTGTGTTGACTGTGATTGATAGTATGTGTCAGTGCTAGAAATGCTGTTTTGGGTTAAGTCAAGGCTTGAGAGATTTTAGATGGCAACGTGAGAGCTGAAGCCATGGGAACAGAGAAGAGGCCAGACCTTGTGATGCAGATGTTCTGAATGACACTACACAAGTCCTTTGTAGACTTAAAGTATGTTAATTCATTGGTAATCATGAGTGGCATATATTCATAGTAATTTTTTACTTTCTTTTGACCTGTCATTAGCTGGGATAGATGGGCAGCTGAAGATCATGTTCTTCGGGATACAGACGAAAACCGCAGATTACAGCGTAAATTGGCACGGAAGGCTGTGGCTCGCATGTAAGAAATCCTTTTGGCTTCAAAATAAATGAGATTCATTTTCAGATTCAGATAAATACATCCAGGTGTCTACATTTGAGCTTGGCGTCTGAGCTCGTGCTGTAGGTGATAGATATATGTATAACACAGTCAGTGCATTCTAGAGAGCTACTCTAAGCTAGAGACCTGTGGATTGTTATTAACAGTCTAAAAGACTAACAGCTCAATAGCTATGTTATTCTTAACTATTGCTGTGAAATGCCTGTGTATTGGATCTGCATCTTCCCAAAGAAATGTACTTGCAAAATACTTAAGGAAAACCTGAAGTATTTTTGAGCCAAAGGCAATAATCTAATATTGGTTAGCCATGGCTAGAGGATCTGCTTGAGTACATGAATGCGAGGTAGTGTACAGAGGTTGGGGAATCCACTCTCGAATAAGCATCGTCTGAATGTTTTCAACTTTAATAAATGAAAATAACGCAAACATAGTTTTCCTGTGCATTTACACATAATCAAATTAGTTAGGATAAACGAATGAAATAGTATTACCCAAATGTCAGTGAACCATTTTATGTTCTGTAGGAGAAGAAAGGGAAGAAAGAAGAGACGCTGCAGGTTGCCTGGTGTTGACTCTGTGTTAAAAAGCCTTCCTGCTGAAGAAAATGATGAGAGTAGCGAAAACTGTGAGTTTGTTGTCATCCTTTGGTAACTGGTGGAATGCCTTGACCTGGGGATAAGTGTGTGGTGTCACTTGCCATGGGAGTGTAATGGAGCTACCTGAAATATACAAAGGCCGTCTTATGAAGAGTGAGAACTACTTTTATGCTAAGCATCTCTAAATATCTATTTTCTTCCTGTAATCCAGATGCTTCTCCTTGAATTTCTTCTACTCAACTGTTCTAATCAGCAATTTCAGAGCTTAATGCTGTTATCTTTAGTGTAGTATTAATAGGTGTGAGAAGCCCTCACATTTCTTTGTTTGATGTTAGGAAACACAACATTTGCCTGCTAGTGTTTGTGTGTGTTTGAGGGCAATAAGATTATTTTTTTCCCCAGTCTACCTCACACAAAGGTCTGTTTCTTGTCAGCTGACTGGCTGATTTCGCTTTCAAGCCAGATTTTTAATTTCCTGCATTTTCCTTTGTGTCTAGAAAGCCAGCAGGAACATTGGCTGGCACTTAACTGATGTTCTGGGAACTGCTGCTGCACAGATTCGTGCCTTTTGATGGAATGATTAATATGTTAATCCCCTGTGCAGAACTAAAGTCCAATGAAAATGTGGGTGCACAGGAATGTAGAGAGCTTTTAAAAGTGAGTGTTTTTCAATTAGAGAAGAGGCAAGAATACTTCCTATTAACTCATTTTATGTGTTTAAAATATTTGTAGTGGGCTGTAAATAATGTATGTTTAATTCAATTAGAATTACTCATCCTCATTAAATATAACAAGATAATTACGTTTTTTTAGTGGGTTGGGTTTTTTGGTTTTTGGTTTTTTGTGTTGAGGCCTCAAACCAATTGGTCATAAGCTCTGTAATGTAATAATAAATATGTGAAATCTCTTTTATGCAGCTATAAGTAGTTCTTCTTCTGATGACAGTGATGAAGGAACAGATGAAGAAATAAAAAGTGAAGAAAGTGACATAGATGAGAGGACAGAAATGGTATTTTTGTGTGTTCCTTAAGTTAATATAATTTAAACATCTGCACTTGAAACTCTGGAAAAATTGAAGTAGATGAAATGTAGGCCACAACTGGTAATTTAGCTGGAATTAAAAGCATAATTTTCTTATTTTTGGTGTTTACTGTGATTGTGATTTTGAAAATTATACAATGTAATTTTCTTATAGAACTGTATGATATAATGCTAAAAATACACATTTGTTTCTTTTCCTCTCATTTGACACAAAAGGCTTAAGTGGAGAAAATGTAGCAGAATAGATTTTCCACTTTTGTGGGTGGTGTAAAAATTTGCTTGTCTATGCAGGTTAGACAAACCCTAATAGCAGCAGGATGTTTGTCTTGTATTTTACTGTGAGACAGGCACGTCAACCCTGGTCTTAAGTTAAAACGTAGAGAGGATTGTTTTCAAGAAAAAAAAACATTTATTTTTCTACAATAAACAGTTGATCTGAAGATGTGTAAACTTTAACTACTACAGTGTGGGTTATCTGAATGAGCAACCCCTAACAAATTTCTGGGGTTTTTTTTAGTTAAATACTTAAGAGAACACTAAATTAAAAAAAAAAAAAAGTTAAAAAAAATGAATTTGCAGATGTTTTCAAGAGCAGTATTGTTAAATAGTTTAAGGCTGTTATCCACTTGTATCTTTACTATTGAAGTTCTTTTTTCACAACCCATATGTTGTTTTCTTTCACTGATCTGTTGTAGAAAGAAGAACAAGATACTCATACAAAAAGGGACATGGAAGAAAGAGCAATAAGCATAGAAATTCCTGAAGTCTTGAAAAAGAAGCTTGAGGAAGACTGCTACTATATTAATAGAAGAAAAAGGGTATAAAATAAAAGTTGGTGCTCTAATGTGCATGGGGGTGTGAGGAGGGTGTCAAAAGTAGTTTTTGTTTATACAACTCCTGGAGGTTTTTAACTTCACCTTTTTAGCTTCATGTTGAGCTCAGACAGGTCAAGGAAGAATACAGAGAGGTAGGGAGTAGAGTTCTCTATAGCTGTAGCAGTGGCTTGTCATATTTAGCAGTGTACTGTTGCGGTTCCTGACTGTGCTTTAGAATACAGTTTGCTTTTGACAGCTGAAAATGCAGCAGACTTGTTAATCTGACCATGTTTCTTGTTTCTCCTGATGTTGATAAAAAATGCAGTTTAAGGTTGAAATTATGCAGTCCTGAATTTGCTTTATGCAGTAGATATTTACTAAATAAGTTACAACTAATAACTAATAATTAAATTAATTACAACTTACTGTTTTTATAAGACATTAATTTGTTGTTTCTTTTTCAGCTAGTGAAGCTTCCTTGCCAGACAAATATAATAACCATCTTGGAGTCATATGTAAAACACTTCGCAATTAATGCTGCTTTTTCAGCCAATGAAAGGTCTCGGCACCATCAGATGACTCCACATGCTAATATGAATCTTCATTATGTGCCACCAGAGAAGAAGTGAGTAATCTTTAGTCTACTGCTGTTGTCACAAGAAGAATGACCTTACATTCTGTGTTGTTTTATGGTTGTTCACTTCTGTGAGCTTATACCATAATGAATATCTATTTACAGGGCTCAAAGTATTTGACAGCTAACTACAGCAGAGTAACACTGATAATTTGTTTATCAGTGAGAGAGTCCCTATACACTAGAAAGTCATTATGCAAAAGTATCAATATCCTGTTCTATCATATAAGTTCTTACAAATATTGAGATCCGTTTGGAAGAATGTTTTGCTGTTGTCAGTGTGGAGAATTTCATATCTGATATAAGAATACCCTGCTTAGATAAACTTGAACAGGTTCACGTTTTAAAAAGGATAAAAATACAAACACTTAAAAAGAATTCCAAGTGCAAGTTGTTTATTTGTTTTAAATGGATATATGATCTTAAATCCTAGAGTTAGTATGTAGAGAAACCGTGGTAACACAAATCCTGATTTGTGGAAATTCGTGTTGTAGTCTGTTTTCTCAGCTGACCTGTATGTTCTTCTACCACGTTACAAATGCATTGACCATGCATGTTTGCAGTGTGGTGGTTTTTGATTGTTTTGGCAATTTTCCCCCTTATGTTAAAGATTTTTGATATTAGATGAGACTGCTTCTATCTAAGTAAAATGGGGCGAAATCTTGTTATTTTATTGAGAAATCCTGACTTGTGTCAGTGTTCTATTTTGATGAGTTGTTCTATTTTGAATAGTTGTGCTATTCCTTGCAATATTTTAGCCTGAGTGTCTTCTTTTATGTTGGTGTCATTCATTCCTTGACAGATTGACACTTTTCCTTCTTTGTAGTATAATCTCCCAAACAAAAGCTTAGATAAAATATCAGAAATATGAACAGAAGGTTTTACACACATTATGATTTTTACAGGTTTATGCTCAAGTCACTTCCTCAATAAAAACAGTGCTTTAGTAAAAAAATAGGTATAGTTTCAGTGATCATTAAGTAGGAGAGATTCAGTTGACATCTTCATTGTATTTGCCTTAATGCTCTAACACTGAAGGTTATTGACCTTCTTGGATTTATAGAATTTCTACACATGATGGTCTCCTGACCCAATTCATGTGTAGTAGTTTTAGTAGACGATATGAAATATTGGAAGTTTGGAATTTCAAACATAGATCATTTTGGCAGAATCAAATTCTGTTACCATACACATATATGCACTTGAAATAATGAGAGGGGAAGACCTTCACAAAGGTGAGAGATGTTGCAGGTGTGCTGCACTCTGTGTTCTTGGTTCTTGTAATAGCTCTTGTACTCATCACCTAACCTTGTAAGTCTTTCACACAGACCTGAAACTGGAATTCCTGGTAGCCTCCAAGTGTAGTGCTCTGATTACCAGAGCAGACCATTGGAAACTGCTCTCCCATGCAAATGTATCTGGTTTTGTTGGTTCACTGGATATCTCTTGAGCACAAGATGGATATCTCTTAACTGCAGCTTAATGGCTATAGGTCAAATTCTGCTTATGCCTTTTAGACAGAGATTCAGTGTGTTCAGTACTTATTTTTCTGGCAGGTGCCTCTTTTTTCAGTGTAGTGAACTTGAAAAACCAAAATAATGTTTATATGAAAAACATCTAACTAACTTTATTTACTCTACAGTAGATTTTATTAGTTTAGTGAATAGTGTAATACAACAGTTGTGTGATTTTGTTTGAGGTTATAAAGCAGACCTTTTAAAAAGACTTGTATTTCTGAAGTTAACAAGAGCAATCACCATCTTTTTAAGTGTGTTTTTAATCACTTATCATTATTTAGTGATTGAATCATCGTATTTAGTTATGATGTTAATGGATTGTATTAAAGAGCAATTTTGTGCAACTATGCTGAAAAATAGTGGCATGCAACTTAGAAATTCATAATTTTTTTCCCCTCTAGTGTCGAGCTATGTAAAGAGATGGTGGATGGGCTGAGAATAACCTTTGACTTCACACTTCCTTTAATTTTGCTGTATCCTTATGAACAAGCTCAATTTAAGAAGGTGACTTCATCAAAATTCTTTCTTCCTATCAAAGAAAACTCAACAAATACTAACAGGTAGGTTAGATATAAGAAGTTTAATACTCCTTATCTCAGAAGGTAGGAGAATGTGGTATTTATGGTTTTTAACTTTAATTTGAAGAGAGGTATTCTTCTGGAAAATAGAATTTAATAGAAGAGCTCTTAACTTTAATAGTTATTGGGAGGAGACTGTCTTGTCTGATTAAGTGTTTCAATAAGACCTGTGAAACTAGAAGAATTTCTTTTGTGGCTAGAGCCCTAACCTCTTCAATTCTGTAAACCTGCCCTAATTTCCTAGAAATCAGGAGGAACTTTCCCCAAGCCCTCCTCTGCTGAATCCACCCACGCCTCAGTCGACTGACAGCCAGCCCACCACAGGGGAGCCAGCCACGCCGAAGAGGCGAAAAGCCGAACCCGAAATCCTGCAGTCGCTGAGGCGTTCGACGCGCCACAGCTCCAACTGTGACAGGTTGTCAGAGAGCAGCGCGTCCCCGCAGCCCAAACGGCGGCACCTCGAGACCCCCGCTTCTATGCCAAAGCTCTTCTTGCACCTGGAAAAAAGTAGGTTTTTCTTTTTACATTGTGGGTCTAAACAAGGCAGAAAGTTCTGTTCTTTTAGTGCTGAATGGGCTGTAAACTCAGTGAAAGAAATGGAAGTCATTAAATTTTTGTATCAATTCTTTAACTCTGAGGCCTTATTACCAAAGAGAGAAATACAAAGCCATATTGTCTGTACTTTGGTATATTTTTCCACAGAATGCAAGAAGCTGCTTTTCTTAAAGTCTATTTTAGGATAACTTTTATTGAATTTCAGTGTTTAAGACTTCAAACATTTTAGCAGCAGGCCTTAGATGCATTTAATGGCTTATAGTTCCAAGTAGTAGTTTACAAGTAGTAAAATTTTCCTTATTTCTTTTCTTTTGTTTTTCCTTTTGTTTTGCAGAAACCCCTGTCCATAGCGGGTCATCTTCACCGATAACTTTGACTCCTAGCAAAGAAGGGAGCACGGTGTTTACTGGCTTTGAAGGAAGAAGAAACAACGAATTGAATGAGGTAACAGATTTGGATGTTACTGTCCTAGATTCAAGGATTAAAAGTTTTGTGGACCTCAGAGTAGGGCTATGTAAGAAAAGATTTTGTTGGCATTACTTATTTCATCTTTGAATTTGAAGTTCTGTATAGTCTAAATTATTTATGATGTCATGAAGTTTTCATAACCAGTATTTTTGTATTTTATCTGTAGGTTTTGTCCTGGAAATTGATGCCAGAGAATTATCCACCAAGTGATCAACCCCCACCTCCCTCATATATCTATGGATCTCAACATTTGCTGAGGATGTTTGGTAAACTAATGCAAAATTCTCTGCTCAATCAAAGTTGCTTTATATTTTTTTTCCAGTCCTGATATCAGTGTGATTTTTCTGTTTGCTTTATTAAATTTATTTTTATTCTTGGAGGAATGTACATTTTAATCTGTTTAGAACTTTTAGGCTATTCATAAGTTCAGTTATCTTTTATTGGCTCTGTAAACCTTCATTTAAGAAAGGCAAAGCAATGTTACTTCCAGTGCACTGTCAAGCATCATTAAACCCAGCAGCATTCACCTTCTCAGCGTTTCTATTTAGTAAGGCTTTGAAAGATCAAAAGTAGCTTGCAAGGAAAAGTGGGGTTTGTGGTGAGAAGTTTTTATATTCTTTTCTGTGTAGTGGATAAAAGTAATTTGAAGTTGCATGTACAAGAAGAGGTATAAACATTATTTCTTTTATTCACAGTAAAACTACCAGAAATACTGGGGAAGATGTGCTTTCCTGACAAAAACCTAAAGGCTTTAGTAAAACACTTCGAGATGTTTCTGAGGTAATGTGACACAATGTACCACAGCAGTATTTCTATTGTTACATAGATCTAAATAACCTGGAATGGCAAAGAGGGTTTAAAATAAGATACTAATTTTCTATAACCACAACATTATGATAAAATTAGTATGCCATTTAAACAATAGCAATTTGAGTAAAGATGAATATAAGATTTTTTATTTTTTAATTCCATTTGAAGGGAATCACAATTTTCTACTTTGAATTTTGATAACACGTTGATACAGACCTGAAGTATGAAAGTTTTTTGATATGTATAGAATGTTCAGTCTGACTTGGTTAAGTAGCATGTTTAATGAAGAAATGCAGAGTCTGCATTGGTATTTTTTATCAATATTAGCAGGGGGAGAAATTTGTGCTTTAAAATGTGTTTTTAATTATAGTGATTTCTTAAATGTCTGTCTTAACTGAGCTTTGAACAGAAAGGTTTCTCTGACGCAGTGCAGTGGTTTGTAGGGATACACCACTCTGTGACCACGCTGGCTCCACCACTGGAGTCAGTGAGGTCATACCTGCACCATTGGTCTGTCAGGTACTGTCATTAGTATTTCTGCATGACATTGAGGATGTGGTTAGATATCTTGTGTTGGCACTGTGTTGTGCCCCATCAGTACACTGGAAAACAAAATTATCAAGGAAAACTTTCAGGAGAAGGTGTTGTAGATGGTAATGGAACAGATATGGAAGTTGTAACTTAGATTTGGTCAGGGACTTCAGTAGCCACTTAGGGAAAGGTAACACAACACCAGCATAAAAAAAAAACTTGCATTAGATATCAGGGAGATGAAAGCTTTAAAATGCTTTTACGTTAATTGCTTATTGAAAATAAAAGATATTTCCAATGTCAAAGTTTCTACAATACACAGTTTTTCTATGGGAGCAGTTAGTTGTCAAGTTTTACTGATTCCATTTTGCATCTCTTTTGTCAGATCCTTGTTGGCATTCAAAATACCTTTAAATTAAACAGGACAGAATTAGAGCTCAATGTTGGAAGATTGTTTTTGCTTGAAGTGAATATTTTTTAGGGAGCTTAACTCACCGTGGATCAGATCAGTTTTTATCAGACTTTTGCCTGTTCAAATTCTTCTGTGTTGATCAGAGCAGATCTCTGTTCTTTAGTGTCTTTAATACCGTGTTTTTATATCTATTCTATGGATAAGCTTTAATGGATTAGAATAGATGAAAGGAGAAACATGCCCCCTGCATCTCATAAAATAAAGGTTGCTTATTGGCAAAGGGTTGTTAAAGGGAACTGAAATTTCTAGTGATAGTATCTGTATGTGTTGTACTTTTCCTTCTGAGCATTTCATTAAAATGTGTAGTCATCTATAAATAGAAATAAAATAAATAATGTTTCCACGTCAGCATTTTTAGGGGAGATAGAACTGTGCTTTTGAAGCAAATCTCTCAGTAGTTCCCCCTTTCCATACTTTGTGTCATGGTGGAGAGTCCTCCAAATACACAACCTGCATTCCTTTCAGAAAACACTTAACCAGAGATGTGCTTCAGTCCTTGAGGCCAGGCTACAACAAAACCAAAATGAGCCCCACAAGGCAAGCATAATGTGGCTATCATGTATCTGTTACAGCAAAATATTTGAAGGCTGTGTTTTTTCAAGCAGTTTCTTTTTTGACAGTGTCAAGAAAGCTTCAAAGTTACAGTTACTGCTGTGGAGGAAGCATTTGATCTTAGGTAGCTTTGTAATAAATACTTAGTTTACTTTCCTTGTCAGCTATGCTACTGGGCAACAGAAACCAGTGCAAATTATTAGATACTTTTTTCTCAAAATGTATCCACATGGTGCTTTGGAAAGATTTTCATTTTGGTATTTATTTCTTCATGCCGCTTGTCATTGAAAGTCATCAAACAATTATTTTCTAGACAATTGTTTGTGCATGATTTTTATCACAGAAATAGTTCTGCATTATCTGTTTCTAATCACAAGACAACTTGAGTTTGAGGTGACATCTTTTACCGAGGTCTGGAAAATAGAATAGATGTTCCCAACAATGTTAGAGTGAATATAAAAGCAAACCTCTACTTGAAAGCTTTCAGGTACACAATATGGTGAAAATTGCACGTGATATAGTAATTCCACAATTTTTATGAAGTCAGTTAATTAGTATACTTACCATATACTGTTCAATTAAAAGGTTAGTTGGTTAGGTAATAATCCCTGGGGTCCTGCCCCACTGAAGGCAGAGGTTTCTTTTGCCCCACTTTTTTTATGTCTGGTCTAGATTCTGGTTGGAAAACAGAATGTCTGTGTAATTGGTTCTTTTCTTGGAGTAAGACTAAACACTATAAGGTTGGCTTATAGTTTCTAAATGTAGGGAAGAAAGGTAGGAAAATTACTAGAAATAACAGCCATGCTTTAGCAATCTACAAAGTTACAAATACATGAAAGATACAAAAAGCTAAAAATCTTTAGGCATCAGTACTAGTTCTTAAATTTTCACATTCTGTCTTTTCCTTTTTGGGAATTAAAGGATTAATGGATGATTATTATAAATATTTTATATCAGTTCTGTTCTGGCTTAACTTTTGAACAGTAAGATCTTCCCTACAACATCAGTATGAATTAGGTACTAGCAGCCAGTTTACTTAGGACTGCTTAATTTTTTTTTTTTGGTTTTTTTTTTTTTTTTAGTGAACTGCACTTGAGTGAGAAGTTGAAGTACTCTCCTTTTCTTTATTGCTCTAATAGCAGACAAAGGATTGATGGGTCTGCTTGCATTAATTAAACTACTCCTGAATCTTCTTTGATGTCTAGTAGAGTAGTCCAAGCATTAGTAGTTTATGTATTCTTAAATAAAACTTTCCTGCAGTACACAACTGATTTAGTTCTTGCACAGATACTGATATAATTTTGAATTATTATATTGTGGCTAAAATTTATAGTTTACTGTTTATACTATTAATCTCCTGTGGGCTGAGAAACTGAGATTTATGTAATGTAATACTTTTTCTGGGAGCTTGTTGTCTTGAGTTTACTTAGTTCATGATAGATGCGTTAAATTAGCTTTGAGATGCTACATGGATAATATTTTCCAGTCATGCCCTCAGACTGCTGCTAGACAAGATTTTTCTCAATTTCCCAGACAACATATATTTTTAAGGAATGTATGACATGCATCTTTTTGACTTTCTTGTTAAGTAGAAACTCTACTCTCTGTGCTTAGTCCAGCTTTCTACAAGTGTGCAAAATGAAAATTTCTTCATGGAGAACAGGAAAGTTTATTTCTCAATAATAGAATTTGCAGAAGAAAATCAGATTCTCAAATTAAGTATAAAACTCTGAATCTTCAGTTATTTAATTCTGAAATGATTCATAGTACTTGCAGTCTAAAATACACATACCAGTTGGTTTCACTGAATTTCACTTAGTGCACATTTAGTCTTTAGGACCAAGCAGTGGGAGCTAATGCTTTAGCTGGTGCTAACTGGTAATTGGACTAGTGAAAGACCCCTGATTAAATCTTCTTGCCTGTTAACAGCTTTAGAGTAAGAGGAAGTATTAGCTTTAAACTAATTCCATTATTTCAGCCACTTTTGAAATATAATGCTGCATATGCTCTATTTTACAATTTCCTGGCATTGTAAGGTGTCAACAAGCCTCCAAAGGTTGCCTCAGTGGTGAGAAATGACTGGCAGGAAGGTGCCTGTTTCTGTTTTGCTGTTTCCATTAATTTGCACACGGCCTTGGCTTGGAAAACTGTTTTGGAATCACAGGCCCCCTCCCAAGTCCATTAACTAATAAAAGCTTCTTGAGAGTTAGGAGGAGGATACTGTATGTCTGTTTTTACAAGAGCAAGACCCATCTTCACTGAGGTAATTTCAGAGAATGTCATTTGCATTTTGGGAAAAAAGGCAAAATGAAGTGGTACAAAAAGGCATAGACAGATATTTTGACTTTGATGAAATACAAAGAAATAAATAAGTGACGAAATACTTCTAAAATATTGCTTCTAAAATTTCTAATAAATCTCTTTTTAGATGAGGCCAGTGTACTAGTTCAGATTATGGAGAGCTAATAGTCAAATATTTTAGTTTTGTTAAACACCCACAGGTATTTCAAACTCAGTATTTCCTTTAAGCTTAGATCTCTTTTTTTTTTCCCCTGATGCTCTGAAATCCGCTTGTATCTGTTGTGCCACTTTGCTCCATGGGTAGAAAAATATTTTGATACTGTTGAGTTTTTCTGCGAAGGAAGCCAAATCAGAGGACTGTAATAACAAAATGTGTATATACAAAGATGACAAGTTGTTTCGAGTAACCTTAAGAAATAGATCTCTGGTGCTGACAGCATTTTTTTAGTGTAGTATTTTTATTATATATAACTGCAGTGGTGAATTATCACCACTAGTCTGTGCTAATGTACAATTATGAGAGGTTATTTGTGTCTGAGAATGAAAAAATTAGGCAGTGCAAATGGTGAATGGATTAGAAGACATCTTTAGTTAGGCAAAGTTGCTTTGTGATAGAGTTCCTGTTCATTGTGAGTCATTGTGGCTTCAGTTGCAAAAGGGCAAGTAATTAAAAGTCACATTCTGAAAGATGGAAAAGAATGCAGTTGTGCCAGTGTTTCTTACATTGTATTATTAACTGATTAATATTGTTGAATTATACTGGGTTTTTTTCTCTCAATTTTTTGGATTAACCAGTTACTTGGTGGTAACACACTAGAAAACTTAATGGAATTGGAACCTAAATGTGAGAAAATCAAGTTTCTGAGTGTAAATGAAGATGTGGGTTTAGAGTGCACAAACATGTAAAGCAACATTTTTTTCCAAGTTTTGAAATACTTTGAACTGAAGGAATTATCTTTGCGCAGTTGGGTAGAAAGGTAATTGTCATTTTGGGCCCTCTCTTTTGGCACCTTTAGGTAGAATGTTTAGTGAATACCTAGTGAATACCTGGTATTGTGCAGGTCCTTGCTTTCAGTGGGCTTTGTTGGCTGCTTGGTCTGCAGAATGTGCTCATTGGGGCTTATTGTCCTTGACTAAGGTTTTGTTGCATTGCCAGAAACTGTTCCTGAAACTCTCCATGTGGATTGCTTCTCTTCCTTCTGCTTTCCAAATCACCAGGTGCCTTGGAATTTAAATGAGCATATTGCTAGTCAATAGCTGAGGTTTGGATCATGTATCTACATGTAGAGGTTGCCCCAAGTACTTTAAATGTGTCATGGTAGCTTTTTTACAAGGCAGCTCTAGGGATCTGTGCTGGCCTGGTCACAGGGTTTTCATCCTCAAGACAAACCAAGGACTCCGGTATTGAGCTCTTGTAGGACTGTTTTCCCACAAGGTCTTTGGGAAAACCATTGGGTAGTAGAACAAACATCTAAAACCTGAATTCACTTCTTCTGTTGACTGCAGTGGGGTTATGATGGCCTTTGTCATCTTTTGCCCTGAACAGCTTTCCAGATGGAGACATAAATTATGTCTATAATTATGGAGCCTATAAATTGGGAAGGGGTGAGGGTCAGATGGTTGCATATGTTTTTTTGTGAACCTGAAGCCTTTTAGTTTTCAAATACTGCATTTGAGTAGTAGTGTCAGAGATGAGGTAACTTCTTAATCTGCAAGTGACATTTCTTTTGATGAGGTGACTCATAGAGTTCGGAATCATAATGGTTTTCTAGCAAATAGATAGATCATTACAGTAGCCTTTCAAACAGGTCACCGATCTCATCAAAGCATCTGCTTACCTTTTAAAATTCTGTAGCAGAAGTGTGTAAGGTCACCTTCCTGGAAACTTTTCCTTTGGACACTGTCTTCTTGTACATTAATGGCTGAGGATGTCTTTCGAAAAACTAAGGTTTTCTTTTCTTTGTAATTTTCACACTTTCTGGGCTGTCCCTAAGTTTATTCATGTGATGGTAGCTGACATTTAAAAGAATTCTTTTTCTTCATTCAGAGACTTGCAGTAATAAATTTTGTTGGGGGTGTCAAGGCAAGGCCCACCAGAGTATGCTCTTAAAAAAAACTCATACTAATTCATTGACTCTTGTTGAGATATGTTCATGACGTGTGTCAAATGGCCTTCTAATGTGAACAGTGATAATTCAGTTGTTCTTTTTGGTAAATCTGCCTGTATAAGTCACTCAGATGGTAGTGTATTTGTGAGGCTATTGCTTGCTTAAAAACACCCACACTTGAAGATCAGAACGTAACTTGAAGAATTCCTAAGTTGCCTACATCTTTTTCCCTTGTCTCCATCGCTTCTAGACCTTTCTGAAGTGTTGCCCTTCTAGGAACCTGTGGTAGGGAGGAAAATAACTGCGTTGTGCCATGTTACCTCTGTTCTCTAAGCATGAGTATAAAACATGGGTTTGTTTTTGCGCACATTCATGATGGAAAATGCGTGCTGTCTCAAATCAGTGTGGACTGTGCATCCCAGAACTTGGCTGCTCATCAGCAGTCTCACTGTGTAGATGTATGCGTATGAACTCTGTAAAAAGTATAAAAATGAAAAAGGCAATAATGCAACAGGTGACTGAATGGATCAGATTTGTAAGTTAAAAATAATGAAAAAATTTCTGAATAGCTTGATAGCAATATGCTTTCTATCTGTTGCTGAACATTCTCTGTCTGCTAATTACAGCTCCCTGTGTCTTTAAATCTTGCTCATGACTTTCAGGTAACAGTGTAATTGATCTTGGTGCTGTTTTAGCTTGTCCAAGAGCAAAGCAATAGTAAAATATCTGGTAGACAAAAGTCTTAGGAGACTCCTAATATTTCTGTGCCAGTGTTCTGCACTGTGATATCTTTTGAATAGCAGCTTCAGAAGGCCCCTGCTCTTTGTATGCAGGTATAGAAGGGATTGGGAAAGAGGCTGACTGTGTTCCTTCAGTAGTTTTCTCCTACTTCTCTGCAGAAAATAATTTCTGTTTGCTAGCTCTGGGGTATTTTGCTTTTCACAACTGTTACATAAAGAACAGGGAGATGTATGTTTGACTGTGTGCATTCTGCCCTTTTTTTGAGTTGTAGCTGTGGTACACCATCTCAGCTAAATTTCTCATCTGTACCAGCTGTCACTTTAACATGCACCAAACTGGCATGTATGACTGATGATTTCAGCAAAAGTCAGGAAATTTGTAAGAGAAAGTGAACCTGTTTCCCATTACTTGCCATTAAAATTCTTGGAACTGTCAGCTACCCAAATGCCCTCTGAAAGTTCTTTTAAAACATATTCCCTTGTATGATCTAGCTCTTAGTACTGTGTTTTACTGAATGTTATGCAAAGATGCTAAGATTTTCATCAGCCCCTGTAATTTTTTAATGTCTTGGAGTCACTAATGTGTGTTAATGAAGAATTATTAATTAAATACCACTTGTGACTCGTCTTAACTGTATACAATCTAAATGCATTCAAAGTTAGGTTCACTGCTGTTAAGTTTGAGACTTTTCCACACTTGCTTCATATCAACTCCTCATCCTAGAAAGTGATTTGTAGCTAAATGAAATCAGAGGTCATAGCAGTTGGTGATTTGGGTATTTTATTAGCTTCTAAATTGTTATAATTTGAAATATTTTACAGAATGTAACCAGAAACCATTTAGGACCCTCATATACTCTATATATGTTAATTGCAGAGCTGCTGTGAAATAAGGAAGTATGGAAGAAGCTGATTGATTTCTTCTAAAATTAACGGTGACACTATGAAGGATTGATTTCTTCTAAGAGTTTCTATTTCTCACTGCTTTTTCTAGAATTAGTAGAATGTAACTAGTTATTCCTCCAGTTTAGTAATTGATACCTGTGTTCAAGTGCAAGGATTGAGCGAAAATCAACCCCTTTTCATTTATCTGCAATTTTGTACTGTCTCCGTTTTCTATGAGCTCTGAGCAATTAATATATTTCTTACTAAATTTAAAGTGCTTCATTTAGAGGATCTTGCCAGTGTTCTTTGATGCTTTGGCTCTCTGGAGATCAAAGGACATGCCTAGTTCAGGCAGTGCAACAGTGAGTGTGTTGGAAAAGGCCTGTAGTTTTTATGCCATTCACATGAAAATTTTTTTTAATTTGGACTTTCTGTGTCCAAAGTGTTGGCTACGCAAAACTGATATTTTCAGCTTCCAATAGTGAAATCGTCACCCCAGCCACTGTTTCTTGAGATAACACAGATTCTGTAAATGATACTGTTTTCTGTTGTTTCTTTTGTTTCCTACTATTAAAATATGTAGCTAGAACTTTGCCGTGTTTATTGATGCTGATCTTTAATATCCAGGTATTTTTGAAGGTCTGTGTTTTCTTCTGAAGTACAGCTTAAATGTAATCTTGAGTTTAATAACCATTTTGCCCTTTTGCCTCCATTTATATACTCAGTGTCTTTGAAATCAAAGGAAGGAGCAGAGAGCTTATAGTCATTTTAGGTGTTTGTTACTGGTGTTCATAGCAGCACTGTTTATTTTCATTTTCAGTCCTAAATCAAAGAAACTGTTGTGTGTTAGCAGAGCAGGAAAGCATTATAAAATATTGTGTGCTTGGTGGTTTGAATAGTATTTGCAGACCATTTTGCAGAAATAGGAAATAAAGAAACTGAATTTGCAAAGGATGTGTTTTGTCATTGAAACCCATATTTATATCAGGTACTCCTGGAAGATGGAGACCCTAAAGGCACATGAAACATATGAAAAATCATAGCTTTACTTGCCTTAAAAGATACAGTTTGACTTAATGGCTCCTGGCTATTTGTATAAGATACCGACAAAGTGATACCTGAAAATACTGGTTTGGGCATAAATGAAAGGAGTGTGTTGAACAGGTAACTTAGAGAAGTTGCAGAAAGATATCTTAACTTTTTCCTTCTGTGCTAGTTCTTTGAATTCTTTTTCCAAGTATAGGTTTAACTTTCAGGTTTTTTTTTTTTTTTGTTATTGAGCTTGAGGGGTTTTTTTTTTAGTGTTTGTTGGATTTCGGAATGCTAGAGGAAGGCTGTTTCTCACTATATGAAACTTGTAAAAAATAGGGCAAATTCTTTGTATGCCAAATTTCAAAGAGTAATAATTCTTAATTCCCATGCTGTGTTTTTGCTGAGCTTAAAAATCAATTTGAAAAAATCTTTTCTCTTAAATGTTTCATATTCTGTTCTTTTTTATGGTGTGCTTTCTTCTCAGGTTTTTAGCAGAATACCATGATGATTTCTTCCCAGAATCTGCTTATGTAGCTGCATGTGAAGCCTACTACAGTACTAAAAATCCTCGGGCCATCTACTGAAGCTATTAATAAGGATTAAATCCTACTATACATAGCCCATGACAATGCTATTCTGCTACATGGCTACAAGATGAGAAAGAAAATAAAACAACTTCTGGAGTTGAAGACATTGGAAAATATCTTTATGATGGTTGGATTACTTAGGAATTGAGAACTGCTTTTCAGAGACGTGTACAGACAGTGGTGTGAGTCACTTAGAGGGCTGGATATAAATCTGACTCCAGATGAATGAAGAAGCTTTGTTCTGACTTTACTGCACAGGACTACTTGGAGTAATAAAAAGCAAAGGAGGCAAAAGCAGATGCATTGGCAACAGGACATTCTCATGAAGATAAATCACCATGCTGTGTTTCATTGTAGCTCAGCCTCTCCTGCCTGAGAAATAAGACTTGACTAAATAGTTACATGAAGAGAATTTGTGACTGGTACCTTATGGATTGTTTTCCTCAAAAATTACATTTCATCTGTGGAACTGTCATGATAGAAAGGATTGCTTAATGTAAAGGTGGCTTTGCTCTTTGGCTAGTGTGACATCTGCCTCAAAAATGACTTTGTTGCTTGAATGAAAGATGTGTTGCTGACTTTGCATTTTGCAAAGGTGTATATAGACCTTTCGTGGTAAAGCTGACAGGGTTCTGAGCAGACCATACACAGCCAGGGATTCGGCATTTACCTGGCAATAAATGATTTCCAGAGCCGTTATGAAAGAACTGATTTTCTACAAGTAAATGGGAAAGTCAGTGAAGTCATTGCAGTTTAATTGGCAAACACTTATTTTCTTAATAAAGTTCACAGTGGCTGCTGTGTGGATGTGTGATTTTGACTGTCTAAAACATCTTGTTTGTGCTCAATTAGTATTTTTGAGGGTGCTAAGTGTGTGTATAATGAGAGGTGGGAGCACTGACAACATATGGAGAGGAGCCCTTTCTGTGTCATTGGATGTTCTTCTGCAGACTTGAAGGATGTCTCTTTAGACTTTTTTAGACACTTTGGCTCTGGAAATAGCAGTTCAGTGAGAACTGAGTTCCTACAAATGTGACAACACATTCAGTAGAAATTAATTGAAACATAATTCTTGTTATGGAAACTGCATGCAAGACTTAGAACACTGGCCTTCAAAATCCTTGGCTGTATCAAGACAGACACAGATTTTAAAAGCACTGAGAGAAAACAGGACTCTGGTTTACAGACTGCATTAATCACTCTTGGTTCAGAAAACTTCCACCTATAATGTAGAGCTCAAGTTTCCTCACATTTGTAGAAACTAGTAATTTGAAGGCATCATCTTTCAAACATAAATGGCAAGCTTAGGCTAAGAGGCCAAAAGAAATGTAAAATCTGCTGTTGATATTCATTGCCACTTTTCAGAGTTCTGAAGTGTGCTCAAGCTTATGAACTCAAAAGATTAGGATTACTTGGGTTTTAGTAGTTTAGGTTCTCCTTTTTAGAAAAACTTTGATTAAGAGTCTGCTGAACTCAGTTGTTGTTAAACCAGTGGCATGGATGCATGCAGATTTGGTGATTGTTAATTCTAAAAATTGCCATTTAGCAGCACTACTCTTTTTTAAACAGGTTTCTCTTGTACCAAGAAAACCCCATATTTGTAAGCTTTCAGCATTCTCAAATGACGGAAGTTTTGAATCTCTAGCAGAATCCATGTACATCAAAATTTTGCAACACGTTTCATTCTAGGTTTAGATGCTGTTTCTCTAAAAGACAATTCAGCAAAATACAAACAAACTGTCTAACACGAGATTAGTCTAGGAATGCTGCCTGAAACTTCAAAATTAATCCTTTCTCTTTGAAGAGTGCTTATGTATAATAGGATAGATCTGGTTTTGTTCCATTTTTTGCACCTGTGAGTATAAGACACGTTACGAACTGAGTCTTGTTGTGTGACTGTATTTAACTGTTGAAATGAAAATTTCTACATCAAGGGGTCAGGAGTACTGGTGGTGTTGCCTTGTGGAGATGCTCAAAAGATGTGAGGGGAAAAAAAATTCTGATGGTCCAGTTATAGTGTAGTCTTTGTGAACAGAGTTTTTCATAAAATTCTCTTGAGGCTGCTGTTGGATATAGTATTACAAAATATCTTACTCTCATAAAACCCAGAAGCTTTTCTCCAAAGTTGTACCTCTTTGTGCTCCTTGACACTTCTAATTGCTATAACTTTCATATTTGAATATATATTTGAATTTTAAAAGTTTAGGTTTATAAATTCAATTACAGTAATATGCAACTTTGACATCCCTCTTTACTGTCACTCTTCATTTATGACATTCAAAATTTTAATACCTGATTTTTAATTTTTTTTTTTTTAAGCTGCAGCAGTGGGAGACACTTGCAAATACTTGAAGCTTAATGAGCTTCTTGGCTCATGTAGTTATACAGCCAGTGTGAATCTGAAGGAACTTTTTGAATATCCTTGGCTGATCAGGTGCTTGATGGGATCCACATCCATCTGAGGTGATGAAAGATGCGCTTAACTATTTGTCATTATTTAGTTGCTCTCTGTAGAGTTACTCATACTGTGTTTTCTAACCTGATTGAGTCAAAATGGCGTGGACTAGCTGGAGGAATATGAAAGCCTGACTGAAGCAGGCTACAGGAGCCTTCAGAGGAGCAAGTCTACCAGCAGACTTCAGAGACAGTCCCCTGCAGCAGAGGAGCTGAGCAGAGGAGGCAGGTTAATGGGCAGTGATAGTTCATACCAACATACCTGTTTGTGCAAGTCACATGTGCTCTGTTTCCAAGGGAAGGCAATTTTGTTTGTGTATGTCAGGAAATTATCCCACTGTAATTACAGTGCATACTTACACTGGTAAGTCTCTATGCTGGAGGTGAGTCCTGCACTTCCCTTTGGGGGTGGGGTGCTCCCATAGTGGGTGTGATGTTGGGTTTTGGATGTGACTGTTCTTGGGAAAAGGCGGAGGAGAACAATTGCAGCCTAGGTTCAGAAGCAGGTGGTGCAGCTGATGAAGAGAGCTGCCCCCTGCGTGCCCAAGGTGCTTGGGCTGCACTCGTAGGACTCATTTCAGTACCTGCTCTGACTTGGCACAGGAAGGTGCCTGAGGAACTTTACATGGTGCCACAGGACTATGAAAATGACCTTATGTTAAGTGCTTTACATAGACAGTAAAGTTTACCAAAGAAGAATAAACAAAATATAACTTTAATATTCTTCTGTTTTATGCCTGATTTTAAGCTTGATTCTGTACCTATCATCCTTCAGGAAAAAAATAAGAAAATCAATACTGTTCTTTCAAGTGCACTGTCTAGAAATTGCCATGTTGCCTTTCATTTTGCTATTGTATTTTTCAAGCTCCTATTTTAAAGCTCAGGCTTTCATGGGGATCCTTTTCAACTGAGATGACGAATGTAAATGTGACCAAGTACTAATTAAGAATGTTCCATGTCCCATTCTGAAAGCTTATGCACATGTTAGGGTTTCCCTTGGCACTTGGTGTGGGCTAACAGCAAATGTGTCGTCACCCCTTACGTCAGGAATGTTTGATAGGAACTTGTCAAACACTAGTGTAGGATAACCTTGCTTGGGATTATGCTGAGAGAAATGTCTGCAGTCAAGGAGGAAATAAAAAGCTGGTTGGAAGTAAAAAGCTGTTACTGCTTTTCATGTTTATATCATCAAAAATGTTATCAACACATTTGGGAGGAATGCCGGGGTGATTGTTATTGGAGTTAAAATGTATATGTGCATATTAAATCCTTCATTTTGTAAAAATTACACATTTTCTCCACTGGCATCTTTAGCACATCTTCCAAAAATATGTATACTAGGGTGGAAATAAGCTGCTCAAGGCAGGGGGAAGGAAGGAATATTTATTATCCTTCACCAAGTCTCAAGTCAAGCCTTTATTGTGCTGTTGCATGTTTGATCACTTTCAGCTTCTTGACCAATCACAGAGGGGTAAAGCAAGATTGCACTTCAGAGCACACAAAGGCTAGTCTAAATTCAAGGATCAAATGCCAAAGGGCCACAGCACAAGCATGCTTTGGCTAAATGTGTTATGTTTTTGTCCTGTGTATTGTAGAATCTTTGTGATAGCACTTAATCACATTAACAAGTCAAGATATCTGTTCCGTTTTATACATTAATACATCTCAGTGTCTCAAGGTTCCCAGGAACAACAGTTCTAGATGGTATGTTACATTTGTTGTTCCTTTGACCATAGTCAGTACAACCTTGATGTGTTTACATAGTCAGCTTTTTCACTTGGTTATGAAACAATGAATTTGGAAGGATTTTCTGCTTTTTGTATAGCTGCATGCTTTTTCTGTATGAAATTAGTGAATACAGGTACTACACTGCTAGAGGTAGAAACACTACAGTATTTCTGTCTCAGTTTTTGGTGGTTTTAACTTCAGTGACAGCACCCCCTCCCCCCAGCTCCTAAACCAAAGTTTGGAATATATATGGCTTCAAGAAAATGCTATCAGCAATGACTGAGTGGCAGATGTAGATGCTTACTAAGATCTAACTCAGTGCATTCTCTCTGTTGCATGCATAATGTATTCTCCCCATTTAACTCACATAGCAGATGACTTTTTTGCATTAAGGGTAAAGATTATAGTAAGCTGAATAAAATCAGTGAAGTATAAACTTGTGCTCAAAGATGAAAAGAAGTCTGTCTTAAAAAAGAGAATTAGGGGGAAAATGAAGTGCACATTGTTCCTGCTGTCTGTCAGTTGGGAGTGGTTGCTTAGATCATGTGAGCTGGGCAACAGTGTGAAGAGAATGAACAAAGCTCAGATGAAAACTGATAAATCCCATCACAAATACTGACCTTTAATAATGCATTCCATGGAACAGAGTAATTTCTCTGCCATTCTGTTTCTAGAAATGGTGGGAAGTTATTATTAAAAATTACTTTCTTAACCAATACAAGGTATTGGATATAATTCTGGGGAAGGCAACCCGGGTATTAAAGCATTGAATCATAGAAATGTGTTCTTAGGGATATTTCAGTGTGATGCCAGAAAACAAAGTATATTTGTACGTAGCAAGAAATGTAGAGATAAATGTGTTTAGTTCCTGGCAAAATGAGCAACAGCACTTCCATTACAGTGGTAGTGTGCAGGTTGGGCTTCTAATAGATAATGTCAAGTAGATGTAGAATTTTAAACATTTTTTAGTCTTTAATTACAAGCTATTAATAATTGCTAATCTGATAATTAAGTTAATAATCTTTAAAGTCCTTGAAACAAAAATATCTCCCAAGTATTTTCTTTACTCCCTTCTTTTCTTGCTTATACTTTTTTCTATTAGTCTAGAAAGTTGTAGAAAATATGCTTATGAGGCTCATGGAGAGAAGAACAGTTCTGACTCAGACTAAGCAAGTCTGAGCACATATATTGCTTAATTGCATTTATATGGTTCTGATTCATTCTGAGGTATAATCATTATATCTGTACAACATATACTAGGTTTTAATTTGTAGGCTTGAAAGTAGAGCCAAAATTAAACAGTTGAACTGAATGGTGTAAATATCTAATTGAGTTAATGGACAACTTAAATATGCCTGAAATTAGTCCCACTGTATGTATTTATGTGGTGGGGTCTTTTTGTTGTGTGTGTGTGGCTTTCAGATTCTGGTTACTTGGTGCCAAGCATTATAAATGAGGGTCTTTCTCTAAAGTGTAAAACTGATTAAATGTTAGCATGAGTAATCAAAACATCAAATTTTGCCATAAATTTGAATTCAAACATATAAATGCTACTATCTCATGTTATAAACAAATATTCTGCCCTTCTTTTTGCAGAAACTTCTTAGAAAGGGAATATATGACCAATCTG